GGCCTGTGACTGAGGCCTTGCCCACCGAGTCACCGGGAGAGGGCCGCCCTCTGAAACACTTCATCCAGAGTCTGTGCTGATTGAAAAAAAACATTAACATCTACCTGGGTCTCTGGGTAAATTTGGGGTTTTTTGGTGTGTTTTTCGTTCATGTGAATCACTTAGCAAATGGTAAATCCCTTCACTCCATTCAAAACAACTTCAGTTCCAGAGACGCCGTCACTCGGGGAACTCTGAGATCCTGAAGCCCCGCACGCAGCGTTGGGATGGCTGCCTTTGCTGTGACCACTCATCACACGTTTCTTACACAAACGGCCGTCTGATGAGTTGCCAGACTTAAACCATTTGGGTTTTCAGTGATGCTTTTGGACCTGGGGCAAGTTTCTGTCAAAAGGATTTGCTCCAAATGCTTTTCCCTCCATTCGCCTGCTGCGGAGGCGTCCCTGCACTGTGGGTGCCCCCAGCACCGCTGGCCCTGGCTGGTGCCTGCCGCCCCACCAGACGGTGAGCATGGAGGAGGTGACCCGTTTCCACACAGTCAAGTTCCTGTGACACTACCCTTGAGCCCAGGGTGAGAGAACAGAGAAGGCGTGCCAACAGTGGGGTCTCTCTCGCTGTCCTGGCGGGGTCCCGGGCTCCACACTGCCCCTGGCCGAGGCTGTCTCTCGCAATGCTAGCACCTTGGATTCGGTGAGGCTACCTGGTGTCTAGGAAGGAGAAAGACAAGTGGGGAAAGAAGAAGTATGTGCTGGTTGCCCTGAAGAGTTTTCTCTCGTTGGGCAGACAGATGTGCCCTCCCATTGCAGGCGAGGTCGATCTTCGTGTTTGCATTTTGGGAGGAGTGAGCTGTGGGGGCCTGGAAGGTGATCACCACCATCAGCAAGGTCCCAGATCAAAGATTTAGGGACATATCGGCTCAGTGGTGGCTGCCACCACAGAATGTCACCTACGGGAACTTAAACCAAAGACATCGACTTCTCACAGTTGTGGAGACTGGAAGTCCAACATCAAGGTATCGGCAGGGTTGGTTTTTCCAGAGGCTTCTCTTCGCCTTCTCTGTGTGGCTTCACATGGCCTTTCCTCTCCAAGAATGAATGCTCTGGTGTCTTTTCCTCTTCGTATAGGGACACCAGCCCTGGCCAACCAGGGCCCATCTTTATGACCTCATTTAACTTTGATCACTCCCCTAAGGCCGCATCTCCAAATGCAGTCATGTTGGGAGTCGGGGCTTCAACGTACAGATGACAGGGGACACCATTCAGTCCCTAGCATGCGGGAATTTGTATTTTCAGTCTGTGGCCACCACAGCACAGAGCTCTCTACTTTTCTAAGTATCTTTACAACATGCCACCATCTCAGCACAGGCCCCCAAGCCAGCATGCGTGGGCAAACTGAAATCGGGTGTCTTTCCCGTTGGTCTCAGGAGAGGCAGATCCGGGCAAGAGCTAAATTCTCTAACCCACTAGTCTGGCATCTTGAAGGCCCCAGGGACCTTACTGACAGACACTGAGCCCAGGGTGAGAAGAGGTATTGGAAGGGTTGCTGGTTTCTCTATTCTAATGTTATAGTGAAGTGCAGTTGACAATATTTGTTGTTTTGAATAAGTCATCTGTCACCAGATAGAAATTCAGAGGGAGGGAGTCTCTCTCCTTAAAAACCCCCTCACTTCTCTCCCGTTTCCTTCATCCAGAGATCATGCATACCCGTAAAAACCCATGGGCACGTAGGTTTCCTCTATGCCCACACCCCATGCCACACCTGCTGCTTTCCCTTAGCTTATCTCCAGCCATCCGCTTTCATTAGCACGACTGACTTCACACCTTAGCACGGCTGTGTCGTGTTCCACCATGAAGGTGACCCATGCTGATTTCACCAGGTCCTTGCTGGACACTGTGGGGCTGCGCCCACATCTTTGTACCACACAAACCTAGGAATGCGATTGCTGTGCCCACGTGCCTTTTAGATGTCGGTGCATGAGTTTAGATACTCAGTGGCAAGGTTGTCTCACTTCGGCCGACGCTGTGCTCTAACGTTCCTTCTGATCTTTGTTAGTCTGACGGGCACATGTGGCCTCTCCTGGTTTGGGTTGGCCTAATGGCAGTTCTGATGCCAGGAGGACAACGTGAAGGCCATCTGTTCCAGCCTAGGGGGAGTGTGTCTTTCATGGTGCAGGTGTCTGTGTGGCTGCAGTCACACACACACACACACACACACACTGGGCTTGGTTTATCTCCAGGAAAGCGAGTCTGTCCCCTGTTGGAGCAGTGGGCTGGCCCATTCCGGAAGAATTGGGGGCTTGAAAGAGGACCTCCAGGGGCGTCATTTGTGCCATTGTGTTTGGCTGTCAGCAGAGGCTCTGCACTGGTGTGTGTGTGTGTGTGTGTGCGCGTGTGTGCGCGCGCGCGCATGTGTGGAAGGGATGCTCGCAGTGTCTACTCCCAGAAGGACATGTAAACTGTGTGTGCATTTGCAGTGGGGAGTTCCTTCCCAGACCTGTCACAGAATCAGAGTGGGGCTGCAGCCCTAGCCGGTTTTACCCAGTGGATAGAGCGTCAGCCTACGGACTGAAGGATCCTGGGTTCAATTACGGTCAAGGGCACATGCCCAGGTTCCAGGCTCAATCCCCAGTAGGGGGCATGCAGGAGGCAGCCGATCAATGATTCTCTCTCATCATTGATGTTTCTATCTCTCTCTGAAATCAATAAAAACATATTTTAAAAAAAGAGTGGAGCTGCAGAGAGCACCACGAGGCCCAGTAGGGAAGTGGCTCCTCCTTCAAAGTGAGGAAAGCAGGGCATCGGGCCTCAGCCTCTGGAGTGTGAACAGGAGCTCGGAGATTTATGGAGGCTCACAGAGCTGCGGATGGTGCAGAGCGCTGTGCTGCCTGCCTGGAAATGGGAGAGGCCACCGGGAGCCATAATTTCTGATCCTGATGTTCCCGAAGTGGAGTTCGGACACAAAATATGGAGGAAACAGCTCCTTGTTGTCCCAGGTGCCTCTTCAATCAGAAGCTGTTAACATGTGCACTTTGGACTTCCCTAATGGCGGTATCGTTCTTCCACTTTTCTTATTCATTCATTTGAGTCACAACATTGACCGAGCCCTACTCTGTATTAGGAATGGAGGCGAGTCTCTACTGAAACAGCCACCTATGTGCCTGCTCACGCCCCACTGCTTTTCACAAAAGAGAGTAGAATCTACTTGAAGAAGCAGACTGTCGTATTCATTTCTGCACTTTTTTAATGATTGTTCAATGACCGATACAGAGTAGGACTTCAAAGCCATTTGCACTGGAGCTTCCATCAGGCACACATTTAGTTAACTCCCCGGGTTGAGAATTTACCTGCATCATAGGACACAGCTCCATTTAGTTTCATCCTCTGGTTGAATGCTAAGCCTGTTCATGTGTTATAGGATGTGAACCGTGACAGGGACCGAAGTGAGTGAGTCTTCCTGGTGAGCAGGACACTGGGATTCTCATCCCTGCATCTCCATTCCCCATCACTCCTGTTACTTCTTCTTAGGTTTGGCCAGTCCTCTGCAAAGAACGGCTCAAATGCCCCGACCTCAGCTTGTAGACTTTCCTCTGGGCCCGTTCTTTGCCTGGCCCTGTGGGTCTCCACCTTCAGCGTGCTAGACCTAGAATCAAGGATGTATACACCAAACCACTGTGCTCTGCAAGGAAAATAGAAAGGGTTGTCAGGGGACACTTTGACTGCATAACTGTGACTTAACTTGCTGACTTTAGAACCTCACATGTAAGATGTGACTCCATGGAATTGAATCAAAAGAGGAAGGAAAGAAATCATTCTTTTCCTATCCTTGTGGGTCATTTGTTTCCAATATGTGGTAAGTTAAATTCATATAAACCTCTGCCTACAGCACATGGCTCTGGGGGCTAGAGTTGCACATTGATGTGTGTAGCTGAGGCATGGTAGGAATGGTCAGGACTGGAGTCACAGAATAGAGTAGCTTTTGAATTTAGTCTTGATGGGGATCAGGAGGAATGGGCCAGAACAAAAAGGGGATGGGAGAGTTGTACTAATAAAATGGTTCTAATGTTATAGTAATAAAAACAGCTATTGTTTACTGTGTATTCATTATGCACCAATTTATACATTTACTTATTTAATCCACAAACAAACCTTTGAGGTAAAGCCCATTATACTATTACTAGAGGCCCGGTGCATGAAATTTGTGCATGGGTAGGGTCCCTAGGCCTGTCCGGAGATCAGGGCTGTGGGCTGGGGCCTTCCTTCCCCAGCTGCTGGCTGCTGGTGGAGGCCTTCCTTCATTCTGGCTGCCCCCTTCATTCCACACCACTCCCTGTTGGTCAGTGTAGGTCATAGTGAGTGGTCAAACTCCCAGTTGGTCAAACTCCCGAGGGGACAATTTGTATATTAGCCTTTTATTATATAGGATATACATGAAGAAACTGAGGTCCAGGGAGGTGAAGCAAATATTGAAGCACAACTAGTAAGTGTCAGGATTGGCATGTAAGCAGCTCCAGAGCTTGTGATGTTAACCAATGTCTAGAAGCAAGGATGGACTAAGTTGTGAGAATTTAAAGAGAACTGCAATAATGGTAGCTCTGATTTTAAAAACACACATTTTTTAAAAGGCTCTTGATACATAGGACTGATAACCTTTCTTTCAGAAAGGGCATTTGTCTAGCAGATGAACTAGCTTTCAGTAACAAACCATAGCAGTCTATCAGCAATGGGAAGGACAATGGGGGATGGACAAAGACAAAAATGGGGGATGCTGCCAAGAAAGTAATTTATTTGAGTAAAAAGTCACATTTTCCCATCGCCAAAAAAGATACCATCGTTGTCTTTTGACTCAAGCATTTAGTTAGTGTATATATATATATATTTGGATTTAACAGTTTATTATGAGTTATAAGTATCATTTTAAAAACACTGATCCATTAAATCATGTAGAAATAAGTATGCAAAAAGTTTGCAAAACAAACATACTTTAAACATGTTTAAGTATAGAGATGATCTGCAATTCCAGATTTTCAGTCACTTCATTATGTGATGGCAGCCAAGTAATCCTTAACTTCAGTTGGAGTAAGCCTCCTAAGTCCAGCTTCACTGCAGATTCCAACTTCTATGTTATCTACTGTCATCTGCCCTTCAAAGCCTTCCTTCAGGGTTAATATGGCTGTATGAATGGCATCTTCAAGTTCTAGATCTTCATTATATCTTTTCTCAAGAAAAGTTTTTCCATTCACATAGTTCTTTCCCATCGCTGTGGCTTTCCAGGCAAAGTAAGCTCCCGATGGATCTGACTGAAATAAATATGGTCGCCCCTCATTCCAACCACAAATTAGTAAAGAAACTCCAAATGGACGAACACCGCCTGATTGGGTATATGCTTGCATCACAGAAGCTACTCTCTGTACCAGCTGAGCTGTGGGAATGGGTTCTTGGTAAACAAGGTAATATTGCTGAGCTAGTTTTCGACCTCTGTGCACAAGCACTCTGTAACCTGGGCCCATGCCACTATATACCAAGCCTATATGTTTGGTAATTGGCTCCACTTTGTGTACACTTCGCTCATCATACAGAATGGATTTCTGTTTCTTCTCCGTTGCTAAGACCACACCATTTGCAGCTTTAATTCCCACTGAAGGGGCTCCTCCAGCTACAGCAGCCAAAGCATATTCAATCTGCACAAGTTTACCAGATGGGATGAAAGTAGTCAACGAAAAGCAGTAACTGCGCTCTGCCATCTTCACCCGGAGAGCTAGTTTATATTTAACGTGATGACTGACATATTAGTGATTTCATCTAACATTCCCATCTATCTAGTTACTGTGTGCTTTCTATTCATCTTACCCATTGCATGTTGCCTTTTCTCTTCTTTCTTGACTTTATAAATAGTTGTTTTTATGATTTCACAGCTCCCTTTATTAGCTTCATAGTTATAAATAACTGTGTTGTTTTTTACATTGCCATAGAAATTAAAACATGTACCCATGATTTGTTAAACTTCAATAAAAACTAGTATTTCTAAAAAAGACATACAACCCAATTTTTTGAATGGGAAAAAGGTTTGAATAGGCACTTCATGGAAAATCTCCAGATGACCAATAAACATATGAAAAGGAGTTCAGTGTCACCAGTCATTAGGGAAATGCAAATGAAACCACAATAAATAGCGATATACACTCACCAGAATAATTATCATTTTAATCTGGAAAATTTCATTTGATTTATCTTCCAGTTTACAAAATCTCTCTTTGGTCAGGTCTAATTTACTAAGTTCTAAATTCCAGTTATTGTATTTCTGAGTTCTAGAACTTCTCTATGACTCACTTTTTGTTATTGTTGTTGTTGTTGTTTGTTAATCCTCACCCGGGGGTATTTTTTCCATTGATTTTTTTTAGAGAGAGTGGAAGGGAGGGGAAGAGACAGAGAGAAAGAAATGTCGATGTGAAAGAGCCACATCAATCGACTGTCTCCTGAATGTGCCCCGATCAGGGCCAGGATCCAGCCTGCAACTGAGACACACGCCCTTGGCCGGAATCAAACCCATAACCCTTCAGTCCACAGGCCAACACTCTAACCACTGAGCAACTGGCTAGGGCTCTATGACTCCTTATTATAGTTTCCACTGTGACAAACTTCTCAGTCTTGTCTTTTATTTCCTTGAGTATTTTAAGAAATTATTGAAATTATTGAATATTTTAAGAAATTGTTGAATTCTGATAACTTCACTGCCACCTTCCACGGCTCTGTTTCTAGTGTCTGTTTCTTTTGTTTTGGGATTATGTTGCCCCATCTCCTTATATTCCGTGCTATTTTTTATTCTGTGCTGGATATTTTGCATGAAAAATAAAAGTAGGGAATTTGAATCTTAGGACAATGTTATCTTCTTCCACAAGAGGATTTATGTGAATTTCTGGGGGATAAGGAATGCCATTATCACCGCAGGCTAATCAGGGATTCATTATTTTGAAGCGAGCCTTCAGTATCTGCAAGAGATGGTCAATTTTCAGTCTTCCTTTACCCTTAAAGTGCAGTCCTTCAGAGTCTCAATCTAAGCCCTTGGTGATTTTTAGATCCTTCTCCTCGTCTGTGGTTTACACTTTGAGTCTGTTGAATTACCTGTTCAAGTGTCTCTGCCTCTTGGGCATGGCAGGTAGCAGATGAATTAAATGGAGAGGAGACTGCAAGTCAACCTTCCCTCCTTAGATGTCCTTTCTCACCTGAATCTGGACCCTACAATTCTTCACTGCTGTTAACTTGCCATCAAACTTTTAAAAAATTTTTTTGCACTTTGTCCAAGTTTTCTAGTAGGTGGGCCAGTCCAAATGATCTACTCCACCAAGACCAGGAGAAGTCTCTAGGACAGCATGCTGACCCAGGAGAGCTACTGACTTAGAAAGCAGATAGTGCCTGTGAGCTACAGTGATTCCTCAGGAGCTTAAATGTGGAAAAATCAGATTCTAATGGGTATTTGCCCCCTTTCTTCAAAAAAGCTTGGTCCTGCTTAACAATGCAACAAGGTGATAGGTGAGGCAGAGAGCTTGTCTTGTGGGAGGCTGATGACCCCATTGGAAATACTAGGGGGCATCGCTCATAGAAAGTAGGCAGGTGGCTCAGTGACTATGAAACACAATGCCTCCACAATTCCAACGCCATGCCTCCCAGTGAGTCTAATTGTAGCTGTAATCTCCTATGGCTCACCTATAGGGCTCCTGGGCCTCACTGATAGACTGCTTCCCTCTGCCTCATTGGCTCTCCTCAAACAGGTGTTTCCCACTCACATGATGGCATGAAGTAGCTGCCCTCAGCACCCTGAGAAAGTGATGAAAACCCAGCAGCTAGAACCAAAGCAATAATTCAGATATTTTAGCCATAAACTTCCTTTTTGCTTCTGTTAAAACATATTTGGGGAAAATCTGATATGTAATTGTCAAGTCGCTGTATTTTCTCATGTAGTCCTCAGAGCTGTCCAAAGCCAGTATTATCATCATCCCCATTCCACTGGCCGGGAGACTGAGGTTCAGAGAGAGGAGCCAACTTGCTGACTTTTCTGTTTGCAAGAGCTAGTCAGCTTCATTTATTGTGTAAGCTACGTGAGGGCTGGCAGGTACTTTCTCTGTTTGTCCATGTCTATGTTCGTCTGCTGTATCATAATCAATGCTTGTTGAATGAATGAATGAATTAGTTAGTTAGTTAATGAAGTGGCACAGCTGGAACTTGAAACCAGCTCTTTTCATTCCAAATCGGTGTGTTCCTCACTACCATGGTGACCCATACCACAAACAAGGCATAGTTGGCGACTCCTTCTGAGGCACTTTTATGAGGAAGTGAGGCATGTAATTAGCCCCTTAATGTGGACATAAATTCCCTGTGGCTCCAGTTAAAATGCAGATTCCGATCAGCCGGTCTGGAAGGGGCCTGAGGTTCTGCACTACCAACCAGCTGGCAGGGGCTGTCCATGCTGCTGGCTCGTGGACCATGCTGTGAATATCATGGGGCTAGGTCATCAGTGATGAGGAAACCCAGGGGTTAGGCTTCTTACATGGGAGATGTAGTTGAGAAGAGGTGATGAAGAGCTTTGACCTGAGGGCTTGAGTCCAAGTCCTGCCTCTGCCCTTCGTGTAGAATGTGGCCCATTGATTATTGCCCTGAGCCACAGTTGTGTTTATACAGCCTTATTTAAATATCATTTACATACTATATCATTCACCTATTTAAAGTATACAATGCAATAGTTTTTAGTATATTCGCAGAGTTGTGCAACCATCACCACAATTAATTTTAGAACATTTCATTACTTGGAAAGGAAACCTATTAACAGTCATTCCCCATATCTCCCTCCCTCCAGACCCTGCAACCATGAATCCACTTTTTGTCTCTAAGGATTTGCCCTTTTTGGACATTTCATATAAAAGAAATCACACAACATGTGGCCTTCTGTGACAGGCTTATTTCCCTTAGCACAATGTTTTCAAGGCTCATTCTTTTTCTTTACCAAGGTTTTATTTCTACAAATCACAGCTGATGAACACCAGCACCTTCACACACGCAGACCATGCTCCAACTCAGGCATCGGGCACCAGTCTGTGAGGAGAGCTGCTTTCAGGAATGGGGGTGGCAGGACAGGTAGAAACCTGCAAAGTGCAAAGTACTGGGTGGAGAGGGGTCAGGGCCCGGGGGCCTCAGCCAGAGCAGCCCAGCAGCTGCACTGTGTGCATTTAATCATCCGGCCCACTTCCAGCTTGCTTTTGGGGACTGGCAAATGCAGCTTGTCCCCACATTGGTGTCCCATGTCTGAGTGCATGCAAGCAGCGTAAGTTCTCATTCCCCTGCCTTTTCCATTTTGAGACCAGGTTTTTGTCTGCCTAGCCTTTTTTAATACAATACAGGGTAGGGCACAAGTAGGTTTGTAGTTGTTCGTATGGAGAAAAATAATACAATAATTAATAAATAATAATATAAGGGTAAACTGTTTCACATACTCACAACTGTAAATCTACTTTTGCCCACCCTGTATTCATATGGTTCTCTGCTTATGGCTTTCTGCTTGTAGAACAGGCAAAAAATCACCAGGTTTTCAAGTGGTGGATCCTGAAGATGGGCCCCAGAGATTCACTTTCTTCCGCTCATGAGGTTGTGTTTCAGCTTCTGTCATCTTTTGATCTAATTCATCCAGCATTGGCTTGGTCAACTCCCAGCCCACTGGGGGAGCTTTTTAGCTTCTTTTGACTTTAGGCATTTTTCTCCTTCGCCAGGGTAGGGAAGTTTTCACCATTATTTATTCAAATAGGTTTTCTGTCCCTTTCTCTCTTCTCCTGCTGGGACCCCTATGATACGAATGTTAGTATGCTTGATATTGTCCCAGAGGTCCCTTACGCTATCCTCATTTTTAAAATTTTTTCTTCTTTTTGATCTTCAATTGGGTGATTTCCACTATCCTCTCTTCCTGGTTGCTGGTCCATTCTTCTGCATCATCTGACCTGCTGTTGATTCCCTCCAGTATATTTTTCACTTAAGTTATATTCTTCAGTTCTGACCAGTCCTTTTTGTAATTTCAGTCTCTTTGTTGAAGTCCTCATTGAGTTTATCCACTTGTCTGCAGAGTTTGATAAGCATCTTTATAACTATGACTTTGAACTCTTTATCTAGAAGACAGCTTACCTCCATTTCATTTAGTTCTTTTTCTGGGATTTTGTCTTGTTTCTTTGTTTGAACATAGTCTTTTGTCTCTTAATTTTGCCTCCTTGTTTCTAGGTATTAGGTGGGTCAACTACATCTCCTGGTCTTGAAAAAGTGGCCTTATTTAGAAGGTGTCCTGTGTGGCCCAGTTGTGGAATCCCCTTTGTCACCAGAGCCAGGTGTTCCCTGGACTTGTGTGGCCTCCTATTGTGGACACACTGGCAGGCAAGGATGGTCCCTGGCCCAATGGCTGTGAGGCCTGGCCATAACTGCTGTGGGCTCATTGGTGCACAGGGCAGGCCTGTGGTGTAGCTGGCTGTGAGCCTAGCCACACTATTGCAGACACACTGCTGAGTGCTGGTGCCAACTGAGATGTCCACCGGATGTGTCAGGTCAGGAGCTGCTTGGAGGAGTGACAGCCTGGGTGGGTCCTCAAGGAAATGCCAGGATGGGATGAACAGTGTCAGCAAGGTTAAGGTGCCTGCCTGGGTCAGACCAACTAGGTGGAGGAAAGTCAAGATGGGGGAAATAAGGGTGCCCTTATTTCAGCGCTTCTGACTGAGCA